CAACCTAAGCCTCAATGCCCTTACAAATTATAGGAAGATGAAGAGTTATGGATTCAAGGAAGGCCAGAATGAGAAAAGCAATGGCTTGCCTGGAACCCAACTATTTGTCCAACTACGGTATTTGTATACATTTTGACCATATATAAAGTCTGCCACAGAAACTTCTTCCCCTCATACCTTCTCTTTTCTTTCTCTCATGCCTTCTTGATTAGTAAAAATAAAGTATTACAGGCAGTGCTATTTTTCTAGAAAAAGAGGAGCCGGAACTCACCATGAACGCCTCCCTTGTTCTCTTATAATGGCAATGGCGCTCACCTGAGAGGCGCCGGAACTGTGTTCTGGTGAGTTCCTGCTGAGAAGAAGCCTTGATTATAGGACGAAGTGCTACAAAATGGCTGGCAACAGTTCTTCATAATGCTCCTCTTAATAAATTCTGCTACCCTAAGCTCCATAGTGACTGGTATGAAACCACCACTTGAAAGAGAATGTTTAGATTTTTAAATTAGTTGACCTTTTAAATCTTAAATTAGTTCACCTCCAGATTGCCATTATTTTGCAAGCACATTTTTAAAAAGCAGACTTGTATCCTGTGGCATGAGAAGGAGTGCACAATACACTTCCCTAATTTGTACTTGCTCAGTGAAAGTCCAGCCCCAGGACCCAACCTGAGCACTTACAGCCCCTTAACAGATTTTTGGCATTGGCCTCAATGACCCTACAAATTACAGGAAGATCAACTGGTAGGATTCCAGGCAGGCCGCTATGAGAAACAAAAAAATCACATCCAGACAAAGACAATTAAAGCATTTAGAAGCTCTCCCACTTATTGTGCCCTGTAAATTGCTTTTGTGTCTCTGAAAGCATTCTAAGCGCTAGAAGGTCTAAAGACTCTAAAGGAGCTAACAATGAATTATATTGCTAAGGAGAAAAATGAGTCACATACAGTGGTACCCCGCAAGACGAACGCCTCGCAAGACGGAAAACCCGCTAGACGAAAGGGTTTTCCGTTTTGGAGGCGCTTCGCAAAACGACTTTCCCTCTGGGCTTGCTTCGCAAGACGACAGCCCATAGGGAAATCTCAGGGACAGCGGGGAAGCGCAGCGCGTCTTCCCCACTGTCCTCGGACCTCCTCCGAAGCCTGGCGGCGGGGCGGGGACACCTCCTCCCGCCGCCGCCGGGCTCGGAAGGCTCCTCCGAGCCGGGCGGGGGAGGGAACACCTGCCGCCGCCGCCCGGCTCGGAACGGTGCTCCGAGCCGGGCGGGGGAGGGAACACCTGCCGCCGCCGCCCGGCCTCGGAACGGTGCTCCGGCCGGGCGGGGGAGGGAAGACCTCCGCCTCTGCCCGGCTCGGAACGGTGCTCCGAGCCGGGCGGTGGGGAGGGAAGACCTCCCCGCCGCCCGGCTTCGGAGCGGTGCTCCGGCCGGGCGGGGGAGGGAACACCTCCGCCGCCGCCCGGCTTCGGAACGGTGCTCCGGGCCGGGCGGGGAGGGAAGACCTCCGCCGCCGCCCGGCTTCGGAACGGTGCTCCGAGCCGGGCGGGGGAGGGAAGACCTTCTGAAGGCGGGCGGGGGCGAAAGTCTTTGCTCCCCCTGCCTGCCTGTCCCGGAGGGCTTTGAAGGCGGGGAGCAAGACTCGCCCCGCCCGCCTTCAGAAGAGGTCCAGGACCTCTTCTGAAGGCTGGCGGGGGCAAAGTCTTTGTCCCCCTGCCTGCCTTCCCAGGGGCTTTAAATTGCCCGGACAGCGGAGAAGTCCTCCGCTGTCCCGGGTGATTTTAAATGCCGCCCGCCAGCATTTTAAGATCGCCCGGACAGCGGAGAAGTCCTCCGCTGTCCCGGGGTTTTTTAAAATGCTGGGGGTGGAAGAAAAGCCCTTGCCCCCCCCCCCCAGCCTTCTGTAGAGGTCCGGGGACAGCCAGTCCCCGGGCCTGGTCTGAAGTAGGTTTCACTAGGAACGCATTAATTGATTTTCAATGCATTCCTATGGGAAACCGTGCATCGCAAGACGAAAAACTCGCAAGACGAAGAGACTTGCGGAACGAATTAATTTCGTCTTGCGAGGCACCACTGTATTCCTTTTGTGAAGCTTTACTATCCTGTGAACTAAGAAAGAGCTTGGAACAGAACAAGACTGAATGCATTTAGAATAACAAAAAGAGACAGAACTTCTTTAAACATTTATATGCTCTCCTTTTTCTTTTTTGGACAGAGTGTGGGGTGGGGGGAAGAATCCCCCAAAGCAGCTAACAATAATTAAGTGGTATAACAAAAGACTAATAAAATAAGCAAAACGACCTACATCAACTCCCTGAAGCAATTGCATGAAACATCAGAACCCTAATGTGCCATAAAACCTTGTATGAATGAGGCGGTGCGCATGTTCACCTCAAGTGTCAAAAGCCAGAATGCAGTGGTTCATCTCCAGGATTTGCTGGAAGCTGTGTAATGAAGGTGCCAGACACAACTCTGTGGGGAAGGAGTTCCACAACTTAGGGGCTGCTGCAAAAAATGCTGTCACCTGGGCCACCACTTCCTGGACTTCTGAACGATTGATCACCTTCCCCTTAACCTGAAATTCTCCGGTACTTGTCCCTCTTTACTTCTTGCGAACTGCTTTTGTTTGCTAAACTGAAGCACGTACATACTTTTCATCCAGATGGACCCCAAAGGACATTGCAACCGCAAATAATCTGTAAACAGGAAACACATGTCCTCTAATTCACATCCCTTTTACAGTTCAGACTTATTAACAACGGGTAAGTGCAAGAAAATAGTTTGACATTGTGATATTTGCACATACTGTATATGTCTTTTAAGATCTAGTTTATTATTGACGTCACTATCTGTTTTTCTATTTGTTGGGGAAAGCTTTTCTGATTGATTGATTTAACAATATTTATATACCACTTGATTGTAAATACAACAACCCCCAATCCCCAATTGAGTTTACAACAAAAAAAATGAAATATTAATATTAATAATAATAATAATAATAATAATAATAAATTTTATTTATATCCCACCCTCCCCAGCCGAAGCCGGGCTCAGGGTGGCTAACAACAATAAAACAGTACAAAAGTACAGCATAAACAACATTCTAAAATCATTCATTATAAAATTAATCAATTCAAGCCACTGGCAACCATTGGGCCAGAGCTCCGCGAAGATTGCCAAGGGAGTCAGGCTGTGCCCGGACTAAAGGCCTGGTGGAACAGCTCTGTCTTGCAGGCCCTGAGGAAAGATGTCAAGTCCCGCAGGGCCCTGGTCTCTTGTGACAGAGTGTTCCACCAGATCGGAGCCACAGCCGAAAAAGCCCTGGATCTAGTTGAGGCCAGCCTAACTTCTCTGTGGCCTGGGACCTTCAAGATGTTTTTATCTGAGGACCGTAAGTTTCTCTGTGGGGCATACCAGGAGAGGCGGTCCCGTAGGTACGAGGGTCCTAGGCCGTATAGGGCTTTAAAGGTTAAAACCAGCACCTTAAACCTGATCCTGTACTCCACCGGGAGCCAGTGCAGCTGGTATAGCAGCGGGTGAATGTGATCTCGCAGCGAAGACCTCGTAAGGAGTCTCGCTGCAGCATTCTGCACCTGCTGGAGTTTCTGGGTCAGTCTCAAGGGCAGCCCCACGTAGAGCGAGTTACAATAATCCAGTCTGGAGGTGACCGTCGCGTGGATCACAGTGGCTAGGTCAGGGCGAGAGAGGTAAGGAGCCAACTGCTTAGCTTGGCGGAGATGGGAAAATGCCTCCTTTGTTATAGCTGCAATCTGCGCCTCCATGGAAAGGGAGGTGTCGAAGATTACACCCAAACTCTTAACGGACGGTGCTGGCACTAATTGCGCCCCCGCAAGAGATGGGAGTTGCCCCCCCAATCCCATATTGCCCCGTCCCAGCCACAGGACCTCTGTCTTCGAAGGATTTAGCTTCAACCGGCTCCCACGTAACCATCCAGCCACAGCTTCCAAACATCTGGTCAGTGTGTCTGGGGCTGAGTCAGGATGGCCATCCATCAACAGATAGAGTTGGGTGTCATCGGCATACTGATGGCAACCCAGCCCAAAACTCCGAACAAGCTGGGCGAGGGGGGCGCATAAAGATGTTGAAAAGCATCGGGGAGAGTATCGCACCCTGAGGTACTCCACACACCAAGGAGTGGCACGATGACAATTCCCCCCCAAGCGCCACCCTCTGTCCCCGACCAGAGAGAAACGAGCGCAGCCATTGAAGGACTGTGCCCTGGATCCCCACGTCAGCAAGGCGGTGGTCCAGAAGTTCGTGATCGACCATGTCGAAAGCTGCTGACAGATCTAGAAGAATCAGCAGCCCTGACCCGCCTCGATCCAGCTGTCTACGAAGATCATCTGTTAGGGCAACCAGAGCCGTCTCGGTCCCATGACCAACGCGGAAGCCGGACTGGAATGGATCCAGAGCCGATGTTTCATCCAGAAAACATATTGTCAGTGAGAACAGTTAAAAGAGGTATTAAAATATTAAGAAGATGATCAAAATCAAGACTAGATAAAAAGAAACAAAACACATGCTGCTGCTGCATGTCTGGATAGCCTTGCCCAAACAGAAATGTTTTAAGCAGGTGCTGAAAAGAGTCCAGTGAAGTTGCCTGCCTGATATCAATAGGGAGTTCCAAAGTTTAGTGCTGCCATGCAAAAATATCAATTTCTTTTAAGTGTGGAATGAGTATTATGTGGCAACTATAATAGTGCCAATTCCACAGATCAAAGCGGTTGAGTGGGTACATATGGGGTAAGAATTTAGATCCCAGCACATCTTGGCACATGGCAGCAGCTTTCTAACTGACCTTGCAGTCAGGCATACAAAAACTAGCAAGTAAAGCTTTACTTGGCATTGAGATATACAGCAACAAGGAAAACCTCACCCATTTAAAACAATGCATTCTAGGCAAGCAAGGGTTGAAGGCACAGGAAAGAGTCAATAAAAAAGTGGCAGCCCTAGCGAAGATGTAGCAACGGGATGTGAAATCTGTAGTCCTCCAGATGTCGTTGGACTCCAACTCCCATCACCCCTTGCGATTAGCCATGCTAGCTGGGGCTGATGCGAGTTGGAATCCAACAACATTTGGAGGGTTACAGCTTCCCTAATCATGTAGGAGGAGATTATGGAATCTCGGGCAGCTAAAGTTTCCACACACTGTTCATACTGGAGAAGTTCCCAAAAGTGAACGGCATGCTGTTGGAACCTGTGCATCACCTGACTTATGACACAGCAGATAATCTGCTAGTTTCTCGACACAAGTGACTGCCGTTCCCTCCTCTTGCTAGGTGCTCTGGAGGTGTGCAAAGAGCTACTGCTTCTTCCTTCTGGTATCAGCGGGTCTGCTATGAGTTAAACTTAGTTCTATGAATTCAACTCCGTTCATTTCAATACGAAGACAACATAAGAATAAGAAAAAGGTAATCGGCTACACATTGCTTGTGGGCTGAAAACAACAGCAGTGGATACTGGCAGTTTTCATTAGATTGATTTCCATCCCAGACAGTGGATGAAAAAGCAAATGCCAGCAATTTCAGTTCCCATTTCTGTCAGGGTTCTCCAACATGCTTAGCGGAGAGGTGGACAGAGAGTGGCTTAGCTACGGAAGATAGGAGATTTGAGCCAAGGCTATTGCCTGACTTGAAGCTGTCTTCCCTCCCTCACAATAGTAAAGTGCAGTTTCTCCCTTTTAGAATTATCTTCCCGGGAGTTGCCTTTCCAGCCGTACTTTATTTTAGTAGCTGCAGGTCAAGGTTGGTATTGGAAGGTCAGCAAAAGCGCTGGAAATTGAACAATGGGATCCAATGGAATCTGGCCTGGATTCAGTCCAACTGGGTCATATGAGAAGCAGTATATACGAGAATCCCACAGGGGTTGTATTTCACTGAGGAGGACTCAGTATTTTCTGATCTTGTAACCCTCTATCTGTTGTTGTCAGGTGTTGCATTGACACAGCAGCATTACGGCATTCCTTATTTCTCCTGGGTACAATTTCCCCACCATGCGCTTGCACAACAAGTATCATCTGTCCCTGTGACGGTATAATATGTGCAATGTACGCAGGGCAAACTCAATCACTTTTGCACAACCTCATGTAACCTTAAAAGCAACCAAGTTGGGGGGAAATAAAGGTTAAAACACGAATGCAAAATAACTAACACAATCAGCCTGGCATTTGAAACTCATTTTTCTGCCTGGTATTACCAAAGTGTAAAATCCACTAGAGTGGATTTTGACTACTTTTGACAGGTGCACCTATTCTGGATAGCATGTACGCTGGACATGCTTCAGGCAGGAGCCAAAGCAGACATGCCCAAGGCTTTAATAACTGTTACAGCTCATTGAAATGAGATTCAGTAAGGAGCCAGGACATCCAATCTCAGTCCATGAAAGCTAAATGTAACTTTGAAACCTGATGCAGCTCCATTAGTATATAATTCCCAACATTGGAACCATTCCAGATCACTACCCTGGCTAAGCTGCTGTAAGGGCCATTGATCACTGGAGCCAAAAGTGCAGAGAAGTGAAATTAAATTTTCATTTGTTTCCAGAAATACTATTCCAGAGTAATTTCAATGTTTTATTTCACATTTGAAGTCAAATCTACTGCTTGCTTCTTCTTTTTTTAAACCACAGTTAATCTGTATGGCCTTCAAAAGTTCTTAGTGATCACTAAAAGTGTAAACTTCGTTTATGAAAGTTCAGACTTTTTTTCTTTTTGCTGTTTCATTCGAAATGTCTGAGGGATTCATGGGGCACTCATTACTGATATCCCTTACACTGATTGTATTCTTTATCCATGATCAAACAGCTGACATGCGTGTGGCTTCTAAAATTAGCCACTGTGTCAATTAATTAAACATGGAATTAGTAGGAAGAATTTCTGTCACGGAGAAATATTTAGGGCTGATGAACAATATGAGATCACTGGAACTACATTACACAATTTTTTTTTCTCAATTTCACTATTTCTGAGAGTAGTTCAAATTGCTGATCCTGAGTGTTGGCAGGATTTTTTTAGGGGAGGGGGTCAAACTCCAAATACATACTCCAAACAAGCAGACCAATATAACTATAACCAGAGAACAGATCTATCATTCTAGGCAGATCTGGGACTGTCAGTGGCAAGGCCTAAGTAGACTTGGCACCTAGGAAACTTGTATTTCATTCCTAAACTTACTTTGTTCTCAAAGAGTGGATCTGCTGTCCTCCCACCCATCACTTATACTCTCAGTTCTTTCCTAGGCTCCCATGACCTTCTCCAGCATTTAATTAATTGCAACACTAGTGTTTTCCAACTTACATTTGAATGAGTGATGTCTTTCAGCATTGTTGGTTTGTAAATATTGGCACGACAATGAAGTTCACGACACGCCAGGAAAACAAACAGTGGACTACACTTCAGCATTGTCACTAGGGTTGCCATATTTCAAAAAGTGAAAATCTGGAGCTTTTTTTGACAAAGTTGTTAAGTTGCTTTTCCGAAATTCCTCCCGGACACCATTTTCGACAGGCAAATCCCTAATTAAAATCCTGCTTTGTCTGAACTGCTTTTAAGGCCTGTTTAAAAGCCAACACTGAAAGAATCAGATGTTACGTCCCTTGGGAGGAAGTTCCATATATATGAGGCTGCCACCACAAAAAAGACCCTCCGTCTCTCCCTCCCTCTCTCTCTCTCTCTCTGTGTGTGTGTGATGAGTTGCCTTTCCATAGTATTTCCTGTTCAAGTCACTCAAGAGAATCCCTGGTATTCCCCAACCATTGAGGAAACATGAACCACTGATCCTACACTCCTAAATTTCATTTGTCACACTGTGATTCAGCCCTGGTGATAACGCCACACACCATAATCACACAGCAATCTCATAACAGAGTTTTGACAACCTCCCATTGCAATCTGACATTCACTACTGTATAATCACAAAAGTTTTATATGTGCACCAAATGGAACAAGATAGGGCTAAAAATCAGCCCTCTTCCTACAAGGTTTTCCTTGTTGGTTTTTTCTCCACAAATTTGGTATGGAAAGATGCTCCAATGTGGCAAAATTCCAACACATCATTTCAAAATGCATCAAGTTGCAACCTCAGTGTATGCTGTACTATTCAATGAATTGAGTATTCAGTGGAAATGGCACTCTACAATTTCACTATCCCCCAGATGGTTATGTAACATCCCTCTTGCTGGATCTAAAACTTTGTCTGGAATGCTACAATTCATGAACAGAGAAGAAGGTTTGTGCCTAGTGGCAGATATAAATTGCTGCACATGGAATTGTTAGAAAGCACTGTATAGATTGTAGAGCAAATGCAAAACTCATGCAAGTGGAATGCGGCAAAGGTAGTTCAGGGCTTGCTAGACAAACTTTGGACCTAGCTGTAAGGGTGGGGGGAAAAAAGTAAGATGACCTGTAAATATGTTGGATTCAAAAACCAAATAGCAGCTTCTTCTATGCACGTTAAATAAAGGTTCAAGCAAATGATCTCACTGGACCAATGAGGGCCAAGGGAGCTTCAATACCAGAGCACCAAAACGTGACCTTGCATAAAAGGTTCACTTCCTTTGAATTTTAGAAAAGTCCAAACTTAATGGGATGACAGCCTGCCTAACTGATGCAGAATGGAGACCTCAGTAAATATTTATATTATGGTAGCTCCCAAAGTCCACATTTTGATCATGGAACTGAACAGTGCTGATTGTTGTATAAACACGGGAAAGAGGCATTTCCAAGTAGGGGAATTATTTCTGCAAAATGTTTACCGCTAGGGTCACTGGTTGCTGCTAAAAATGCAACCAGAAAATATTGTAAGTGCATGAGGTTTTTTGTATCCTAAATTAAATTGACTGACAATAAGGCCACTTATATAGGATAGATAGATATAGATAGATGATAGATAGATAGATAGATAGATAGATATAGATAGATAGATATAGATAGATGATAGATAGATCAATAGATAGATAGATAGATAGATAGATAGATAGATGATAGATGATAGATAGATAGATCAATAGATAGATAGATGATAGATAGATAGATAGATAGATAGATAGATAGATAGATAGATAGGACTATCATAGAATTGTAGAATTGGAGTCATCTAGTCCAGCCCCCTGCAATGCAGAAATCACTGCTATAAAATAAATCACCCCCTAACCCTATCCTTCCTTAGGGCTCCTTTGTCAGTCTGCAAGAGGGCTGAGAACATGTAAAATTCTACCTGGGTTGTGGAACTGCATAACTAATGAATGGATTTGGGGAATAAATGAACTTGCCTAAGGCAGAATGCCTTCTTTTTGACTCACAATGGAACTAAGATTCATCAGCAAATTTGATTCTTTTCCATTTGGACTGAATCAGGACTCTGGGTTTCTTTCTCACTACAGGTGTTACATTAACATAGCTAGACAGTACCATCAGCCAGGACTGCTGTTGTGGATGAGTCACTCCTTTTGTATCTTATATGCAGTGGTTTTTTTCCTTAAAAAATGTTTAGGGGTACTCTCATTTTGACTCAAGAAAATTACCATTTTATAGTTCAAATCAGGAAAAATAAATACAGTAAATGGACAAAAGTACAAAGATTCACAAAACGTTTAGGGGTATGCGTACCCCTGCGTTCCTCCCAGAAAAAAGCACTGCTTAAATGCATTTGGGCTTTGCAAATAAATGCCACAGGATTACAGTACTTACATGGCCTCTTCTCCTCTATAACACTAGTATTGGTAGAAGCTATGCAAACCAGGGAAGGCAACTTAAAGAGCAGTGGAGTAGGTAGGTGATGTTAGACTCTGAACTTAACAAGCTTACAGGGACCCCAGTCTTTAGATGGTAATGTGTATTCCTGAACTTTAAAATGTTACAAACCAACCCTTCTACAGGGATTTTTTTGGGGTGTATGTGTGTGTGTGTCTTCCTGATAATTCTGCTAGGAGGACCCTGGACGTCTGCCCCAAACTCCTGCTCTAACAGCACAATCTGTTAAAACTGTTTTCAATTTTCAATTGTTTTAAGCTGTCCTAGGCTGATGGTGAATGGTGAGTACATTTTTTAATGATGATGATGATGTTAGTAGGCAGTAATGTAACCC